TTTTCATGGAGATCCATGAGAGAAGATGGCAAACAAACCTACATGGAGGCCTGATATGTAACTGCTCCAGAGCCTAATTCTTGCTTCACGAGATCATAGAATTTAGTTGGAAAAGCCTTTAGGATCTTTGAATAGAGTCGTTAACCCAGCACTGCCAAGTCCACCACTAAACCATGTTCCTAACCACCACATCTACACATTTTTTTAATAACTCCAGAGATGGTGATTCAACCACTTCCCTGGGGAGCCCTTTCCAAGTCTTTGCAACCCTTTCCATGGAAAAAAAGATTTCCTAATATCCAATCTAAACCTCCCTGGCACAACTTGAAGCCGTTCTCTCTCATTGCACAGCTTGTTACTTGGGAGAAAAGACTGAACTCTACCTTGCTAGAACTTTCTTTCACGTATTCGTAGAGGATGATGTCCTCCCTGACCCTCTTTTTCTCTACTATAAACAACCCCAGCTCCCTCAGCAGTTTCTCACAGGAGCTGTGCTCCAGACCCTTCACCAGCAGCACAGCCCTTCTCTGGACATGCTACAGCACCTCGGTGCCTTTCTTGTAATAAGGGGCCTAAACCCCAACTCAAGTTTTGAGCTGTGACCTCACCAGTGCCCAGCACAGGAGGACAATCTTTGCCCTGGTCCTGCTGACCACCCAATTGCTGATACAGGCCAGGATGCCACTGGCCTTGTTGGCCACCTGGGCACATGCTGGCTCATGTTCAGCCACTGGGCAACTTTCCAGCCACTCTTTCCCCAGCCTTTAGCATTGCATGGGGTTGTACCTGTGACCCCAGTGCAGGACTCAGCACTTGACCTTACTGAAACTTATACTTTCAGCCTTGATCTGTAGATCCAGCCTGTCCAGATTCCTCTGCAGAGTCTTCCTACTGTCCAGCAGTTCAACGCTCCTGTGCAACTTATGTCACCTGTGAACTGACAGGGGGTACCCTCAATCCCTGTGTCTGGATCACTGATAAAGACATTAAACAGGACTGGCCCCAGTACTCAGCCCTGGACTGGTGACCAGCTGCTAGCTCTGTTTACCACCACTCTCTAAGCCCAGTCATTCCAGCCTGGTGTTTTACTGAATGAAGAGTACAGCCATCCAAGCCATGAGCAGCCAGTTTCTCCAGGACAATGCTGTGAGAAATGGTAACTAAGGGGTTACTAAAGTCCGTGTAGAAACATCCAGAGCCTTTCCTTCATCTATTATGTGGATCACCTTGTCATAGAGGAAGATGAGGTCAGGCAGGCAGGACCTGCCTTTCATATCGTGCTGGCTGGGCCTGATAACATGCTTGTCCTGTGCATGCTGCATGGTGGCACTTAAGGTGATTTTCTCCATGACCTTCCCCAGCACTGAGGTCAGACTGATGGGCCTGTAGTTCCCTTATCCTCCTTCTGACTCCCCTTCTGGATGGGTGTCACATTGGCCAACCTCCAGTCAGCTGGAATCTCCCTGGCTGACCAGTGAATGACCTTCCACTAGCTCCCTCAGTATCCTTGTGTGGATTTCATCCATATAAAGTTGGATGGGTCTAATGGTTGCTGACCATTTCCCCATGGCTCATGAAGGCGTCCTTCTGCTCTGTCTTTCAGCTCAGGGGGCTGGGTACCAGAAAAAGACTGGACTTATTACCATTACAGACTGAAGAAAAAAGTACCTCAGCCTTATCCTTTGTCACTGTTTGCCCCCACATTCCATAAGGAATGGAGATTCTCCTTAGCTCTACTGCTGATGCTAATGTATTTATAGAAATATTATTACTGTTATTTATGGAATTAGCAGATGAAGTTCTTATTGGACTTTGGCCCTTGTAATTTTTTCTCTGTATAACCTCATGATATCCTTGGAGTCTTCCTGAATAGTCTGCCCTTTCTTCCAAAGGTTATAAACTCTGCTTTTTTTCCTGAGTTCCTGCCAAAACTCTCTGTTCAGCTAGTCTTCTTTCCTCCTGGATTGTCTTTTGGCATGTGGCAGCAGCCTGCTCCTATGTCTTTAGGATTTCCCTCTTGAAGACTTTTTAGCCTTCTTGGACTCTATTGCCCCAAGGTAAAGTTTTTGGTGACCCCCTTCCTTACTTCACCAAGAACCAAAAACTTACCATTTGGTGATCACTATGCCTAAGATGAGCATAGTGACCTCCAACTACCACACCCCTCACAAGACTTTCTCCATTCCCAGACAACAGGTCCAGCAGTTACCTTTACTAGTTTGCTCCCTCACCAATCCTGTCAGGAAGTTACGTGCCTCCATGTTCCAGGAATCTCCTAGGCTCTTTCCTCTTTGCTATTCTGTGTTTTGAACAGACATCTGGTATGTTAAAGCTCCCCACGAAAACAAAGGTAATTGTTAGACTTCTCCCAGCTAAAAGAATATTTTATCTGCCCCTTTCTCCTGGTTGGAGAGGGTTTCTGTCACAGACTCCTGTCATGATACCTGCCTTGTTGGCTTTCCCCCAATTCTTACTCACAAACACTCAACCCTATCCAACCCTCACCATCACTAAGCTCTAGAGAACCAAAGTTACCCCTACCTCCACTGAGACAGCAGACTGACAGACCTTGCTAACACCCTGTCCCTCAGGCATTGGCATATTGCTCTCAGACTTCAGTGAGCCTTGTTTTATCCTTTTCTCCCTAAAAGTCTCTTTAAAGTTCTTTTAGTGAGCCCTGCTAACTCCTGTGGAAAGATCGTTTTGTCCCTTTGAGACAATTTTCCTCTGTCTGCTGCTAGCAGGTCTGCTGTTTTGTTCTCTTTAGCTATATCCATATGTATAGCATATATCTGTACCATATAAATATCTCTGTGTATATATATAGATGGATATGTATATAGTAGCCTGTAGCAATATTCATGCTGCTCAGTAATTGGCCTGGCCCTAAGTCAAAATCATATACATGATCTCAGCTGTTTTGAACTCCAAAAAACACTCTTGAGTAGTGAAGAAGTTTAGGCATTTTGCATTCTTGCTTTTGGTTTTTTCCTTTTAATTCTTTTATTATAATACAGACTTCTCTGAAGAACCTTTAATAAGCTGGAGGTGAAGATTTACTGAGAGTGACATCCAAGGAGACTAAAAGAGAAGTCAGAAGTCTACAGGGTTGCCCACCATGTGTTAAGCAACAATTGCTTTGGAGTACATGGTCACATATTATTTGATGTGGTTACAGTAAGGCAATCCCTGCCAACAGTAAGAGGAGAGATGCATCCATGCCTAGTTCATCACTTGTTTGTTTGTCTTCTTGTATGTCTTTGAAGAAGTGGGTTGGGAATAAAAATAGTTACAAGATGAAGTGTAGGAAAAGTTATATCTCAAGACTTTTAGGAAACAGGAGATGGCAGCTGTTTTAGGAATGTAAAGCAGTTGGTCTCTTAGGGTGTCTCATTACGAAAGGGTTAACAGAGTGCTGAAGAATCATACATATACCAAGAAGGGTAAGCATTCTTTTCCCATCAAGATCTCACCTAGTGAGACTGGTACCAGAGGACTCCAACACTCAGAAAGTGTCCCACTGCCTGAGCTGTTTCACACCAGATTGCTTTGCTTGTTGTCCTGCCTGCCACCCACTAGGATTATTTGTGCAAGATCAGAGTTGAATGCTGTCATGCTGAATTTAGTGAGTCCTGTGTGGGGGATGGGAGCAGAGAGGGAATTGGAATGTGGTGTGCAGATGTGTGAAGGTGAGAGTAAAGCCTATCAGCTACTGGTTCCAGAGGGTGGTGGGCTTTTCCTTGTTTTTGTTCCTGACTCTGCTGATGAAGTCATCAGTTGAACAACCTCAGTTATCCAGCTATACAAGGTAAAAGTACCAGATCACTACATAAGGGTATGAATAATTTTAAATATTTAAAAATATAACAATTAAACATGGGCCCTTTTGGTGAGCTGCTCCCTGGGTGGCCTCTATTAAAAACCTCTTGAGACCCCAAAGACATTTTCCTTTGCTGCGTAATACTTTTCTTTTGTTTTCAGTAAACCAGGTTTGAACTGGCAAATTTCTGTGAAGTCCTGTAGCCAATTTAATATTTAAAACAGACCTATGAAGTTATGATGGTTTCAGGAATGTCTTGAGTCATCCTCTCTCTGCTAACCTACTGTGCTGACCCAGCACCTGAGAAGGACTGGACAGCCCATGGGGACAGAGGAGTGTTGTGCAACTTTGCAGAAAGGCAGAATAATAAAAGCTTGTAAGAACAAAGAGTGATGTGGCTGGAGTTTGTGTTGCAGTTATCAGCCAAGTAATTTAAAAGAAAAAAAGAACATAATCCAACAAAATCAGAGCATAGTCTTGAATGCACAGCAGCTGGGACCTAAAATGGTAACCTGCATTAAATGTGCTCCTTTGGTAATGGCATATGGTTTTCTGCCTATTTTGGGTAAAAAATTGTAGAAGAAGGCTCTTAAAACTGCTTCTCTTTTTTTTGAAAAACTTGTCTTGGTACTCAGATCAAGAAGAGTCTGCAAGAAGACAGCTGTTCTAGGATCCTGAGAGTGAGGGGACAGCACACATTGCTAGTGCTGTACCTGTTCTGCAGAGGCTTCTGTACTCAATATTGCTCACTTCACAAATCAGAAATTGCGTTAGTGATGTTGCTCAATTTCCATGGGCACATAATTCCATGTGCATATATAAGAGTGCTGAAGTTCTTCTATTTTGTTGCTGTTGTGTGCTTATGTCCCCAGCTTCAAACTAGATTCCAGCATTGCGTTTTTATTTTACTTTATACTGTGAATTTTATAAAGCTTGGTCTCTGCTTGCCTGTGCCTGTATTTTTAGTGTATAAAATCATTAAACTGCCCTACATATAATTAAAAATGTAGAGATTGCATGTCTTTTTATTCAGTGCCAGCACAAATGTCTGAAAGTGAGTGCACTTCCAGAATCCTTCTTTTAAAACTTTTTGTAGTCATGCACTTCAGAGGATAGAGAACCTCTAGCCAAAATACTTCTCAAATGATCTTAAAGTGTAATTTATCTTCTTATTTTGCAGCTAACTATGGACCAAATCCAATTTGCAAAGGTTGCTTATCTTGTTCAAAGGATAATGGGTGCATCAGATGCCAACACAAGTTGTTCTTCTTCCTGCGAAGAGAAGGGATGAGGCAGTACGGGGAGTGCTTGCATTCCTGCCCGTCGGGGTACTACGGCCTTCGAACGCCAGACATGAACAGATGCTCAAGTGAGTGGTTTTTTTGAACCCTTACACTCATTTTTGTCTGAAGGCCATAATTCATTCTCAGTTTTTAAGATACAACTCAGTTGTGAAACTGAGTTGTATTTTCACAGATGTCTCAAGATCATTTTTAAACTTCTGTGCTAAAGAAGGTCCCAGCCCATTCTGAGATATATAACATTCAGCAGATTAACTAGTTGATGAATTGACCTATTTTTTTGTTGTTATTATTTTGAGTTTAATTAGAAGGGTAATTTAGGGAATAAATATATGGTTCACTCAGATACTCCTAGTTTTAAGAAACAAATTCCCACTCTATGAAAATAAAAAGGGTTCAGAATGAATTTAATATGTAGGTACCAGTCAGTATAAACACTGATATACAGGTGGGCTTTTTGTCATATTTTTTGTTCCCACACAAATTTCAGGTGACCAGACACCTCACACCAGACATGCTTTAATATGTAAGTGTTGCTAATTTAATAAAACAGATGTACTATTAAAAACAAACAAACAACCTTTCACTTTTAGTGAAACATTTTATTTGGAAATTTACAACCTGCTAATGTGCAACAAGATTCCCTGTTTGCATGTTTGTGCCTAACTGTTAAAATCTACGAGTGCTCTGGTATCTCACATTATTTCACCTCTGTTTGGCAGTTGTGCTGATTCGTATCGATTTTTCCATATGCTCATACGTGGAGTATTACTCATATGGATTATTAATCATTGCTGTTACCTCTAATTCCTATTTCGGGGGAGAATGTTTTTGTCATAGTGTAACCAGAATCAGGTCACCTGACATAAGAACCTGAAGTGAGAAATAGCTTTTCTTTGTTTCCTGCAATAATCAAGTGTCTGTTAAATGTGTGGCACCTTTCCCCTAATGCTGTGCCCTGTCATTGGGAGCACGGAGCTGTGAGAAAGCTGTGCTGGTTTTCACATCACACATAATCTTGGGACTCACATGAGGTCACTCAGTGGCAGTCTGGCCTGGATGAGGAGCACTTATGGCCATGCTTGGACCTGTCCCAAGCTATCCCACCTCTTTCTCCCCATTCCCTGCGTGGGCTCCATGGATATAATATTCCCAACTGCTGTGTAATATTGCAGAGTGCTGCCTAATCTGTACCAGGTGGTTAAGTTTTGATAAAAAATTAAATGAGACAGTATATGGTTTCTGCATCCATTCTGTAAAGTAATTTACAATCTTGGCCTTAATTTCTATAACACATTTGTGAATTCAACAACTTCTCTATTTGAAACCTTCCAAAACTGGGCTGTAAATACTTCCCCATGTAAAAAGGTTTTTGAATATATTTGTAGGTTTAGGAAATAGATTAATTTATTTGTATTAGCATATACTGTGCTTGTAAGAAAGGCAAAGGAGGCTGTATTCACTGTATTCTTTACTTTCTTGAAAAGAAAAAAAAATAGAAAAGTTAATTGCAGAAGGTAGAGAGTGAATTTAATGGTTTTTTGTTTGTTTGTTTGTTTGATTTACCACTTATGGAAAGTGGCCTTTTTCCCTGAATTACAGGATTGATTTTGAAAATACAAAATGCAAGTTGTATCTAACCCATAGCAGCATGTATGTTGAGCACTTTATGTTTATCTCAGCCTCATCCTTTGACAGTCTCCTCCTGTGAGAATAATGATACACTTGCATTTATGGACCAGTCCTGGTTCCCCTGTGATGATTTTTGTATTGTATATTTTTATGTTAGTGTAACTGCTAACTGGTGTATTTACACATCACTTCTCTTTTTTTTTTTTCTTTATGATCTTGGTTTGCACATATGAAGCATTGTGGATACACAGATATTTTGTTGATTGAAGTTGAGTTGAAACAGACATCCAAAAAATTGAATAGGTTTCTTCATACTTGCCCTTCTTAGGTATGCTTACAGATTCCATTGCTCAGATAGTATTATCTCAGCTAAAAATAATAAAAATTTTGGCAATATTAAAATCCGTATGGGAGTTATAGGACTTGAATTACATAAACTGAAATAATTTCTGCTCTAATAATGTCTTCATAGGCACAAAAGATTTTAAACATTTTTTTACTGGAACACTTTCCCATTTTTGTTAGAGAAGCTATATAACATATTTTTATGAAAAATTTTGTTTTGGTTTTAAAATCTAAACATGGTCAGGGCCAAATGTAACACAATAAATACCACAGCCAAGTGCAGCAGCTCTAAAATAATGGAAATTTTTGATTTCAAGACAAATTTTCTTTTCTACATGTAAGCAGTATGTGTGCCTAGAATTTGCCAAGTGGTTCTAGACTATTTTTCTAGTAACAGTGAATCATGAAATCTGAGACTGCTTGTCTCTAGAAATCAATGTAGAGTTTCCTGCTGGATATGATTCCACCTTGAACACTGCAGTATGAGAATGCAGTCCTTTTGGACATGTACTTGGAAAGTGTTGAATCTCTTCTGTAGAAGAATGCCCAAGAGACAAGCTACACTTTGTTAATTTTCCAATAAATTTTTAATAATTAATGACTTTTAACTGAACTTCTCCAACAAGAGAGAATCTCATGAGGAAAAAACAGAACTGAATTTAAAGAGTAAGATGAAACCTGTCAGTTTGGTGGTTGGACTGATTAATGGATCAAGCCTATCTTGAACCTTTCAACTTAGTCCATGGCCACAGTAACCTTTCTAATTTTAGGAAGAGAAACCACTCTGAGATTAGAAAGTACAGCTCACTTCAGTGTTGGTTGACTACTTATTTGTTAGGTGGGCCCAACATTGTAATTTCCCCTTCCATTCACCTTCAGTAAAAACAAGATAAAGAGAAACATTTAAACAAATTGAGCATTTATTAAACGTGTAATTAATTCAATGCATTAATGAATGTAATGAATTTTTTAACAGTGTTACAAAATAGCAAGACTTCATTAATATGGTGTTGCTTGAACTATACTGATGCAGTACAGTAGAGTGTATGACCCTTTGAGACTGTTGCAATTGCAATTGTAGCACTCAGTAGGTTCAATTACCAAAAAATTCTGGAGAGAATTAGCACAGAAGGTGTTGCTGGTCAATGATAGATCAGTGCAGAGCCAGTGGACACTTTGGGCTGGCAGTGTGAAGTTAGACCTGTAGCACCAATGCAGTTCTGGTGAGCAGCAGAGGGATGGGAGCAGGAGTTGGAAGGAGTGAATCTCGTGGCCATGGGGACAGTCTGGGGACTGGAGAAATTGTAGAAGAGTCAGATTGTTGTCACTCCTAGTTTATCTTCAGCTGCAGTTAAATTATTATTATGATTAGCACTCCATAACCCTAAGCATTATGATGAATATTACTCTGATGAATTAAGATTTTAATTTCAGAATTCTTACAGTATTCCTAATATTGTAAAATACTAATACTAAAATACCTAATATTGTAAAATTCCAGTATTTTCCCCTAAATTGCATCTGATACAGATTAAATAATAGGTCTTTCATGTTTGGAGTAGTTTATTTTCATAGGAAAAAATGAAAACAAACTGTCTTGGTGGAAATCTCCACCCAACCTTCATCCAACCTTCACTCCACCCAAACTTCACCTACTAAAGCTTCTAAAAGATAGTTATCTCAAGGACTCTGCTATGGTACAAAAGGAAACTGGCATTGCAGGTAAAGCAGAAAATATTAACTACATGAGAGTTTTGAAGTACAATCAAAACTGAAACAGGATTTATTAGTTCATTTAATGTTTAAATATGGGTTATTCACATAAGCACTTACATTAAATAATAATAGTTTTATGGAGGGAATCCTCAGTGTAAAGTGAGGCTGGCTTCCACCTGCCAAACGTGACTGTATCATATCAAAGGGTAACTTCTGTTGAAAGTTTTTCCTTCAGTCCCTCTTCCACACACAGAGCAAAGCTTTTATTGTGTTACTCTCAACATGTTTTTTGAAAACAATAGGTAAAATGTTGTTTAAAAAATGTTGTGTCAGTTGGATGTGAGGGATGGTTGCAAGATGCTGATTTTTCTTTTAATGTTCTGTTCTCCATCTTATCATTGGGACTACATGATTTGTAAAAACCTTGATGTCTTTTCAAGTGTCTCAGGTGGGTGGGCAAGAGGCAAATGTTTTTTCTGAATATTTAAACAGATAGGATGTTTGACTCAATCATTGCATATAAAAAAATACTTGCAGTACTCCTTGAGTGTAAAAAAACCAGATTAGCAATTAAGTATCTCCAGAGCAGTTCACGTAGTTGGTTTTGCCTTGCAATTCATTAATCTCGGAAAGTGATTTTGCAGGGTCATTATGTAGATGCTGACCAGGATCCTGTTCTTTAGGGACTAGTTCAACCCTTGTGGAAAATAAATTATTATTCTAAGGAATTTCCTGTAAATTGAAGTGCGAACAAGAAGCTCAACTTGTGCTGCTTATATGAACTCGAGTTTTAAAAACCCCTTTGAAAAATGCTGGATGCAGGAGTTGGTAGCATTCAGGTTGTGCGTGATTGTGTCTAAATAGAGGCAGCAGAGGTTATCTTTGTCAGGGCAAGGCTTCAAACTGATGCTCACATTCCTTTTAACCAAGCAAAGGTCACCACCACTTGAAATATACTTTTTTTTTTTCATTCAATATGCCTTATTTGTTGTCCAACGCGGCGAGAAATCTGATCTAAAAAACCACATATTTCCCTAATTGCTAACAAAGAATGTTACACACTCACACTCACACACTGTTTCAGTATTGTGGGATGCCCTGTTTCGGCCTGCTGAAGATCAAGAATAAATATTAAAATCTGTTGCATAAAGATTGGCTAAATTTGAAGTGTTGATTTGAGATATTAACTAATTGCTATTTCAGAATAGTGACCTTATGGTTTGTGCTTTTTCTTTTCCATTATAAAAGAATGAAGAATAATTGAGTGAGAGAATGACCAAAATTATTATTATATTGTTGCATGACATGAATAAAAAATGCTTCTTGCTGTGGCTTCAGATGTCTGAACAGTGGATACAGTTAGTGTAGTTTATTTAATTTTGTTAGCTGAAGGATTAGAATTTTTAAAAATTAATTATAAAAAGATCATTACTGTTCCAAATATAACAGCTTATCCTTTTTAATCTTTGATCTATTTTGCCCTTGTATTTTTTGTAGGTATGTATGGTAGACATATGATCATTGATAGCTAGTTCATTTCCAAGTTGACATGTTTTAATATAGAATAGGATATTTCTGAAAAGCCTACACCTGAGTCTGTCATCTATTGCAGGTCATATTCCTAATAAATTTTCAGAGAAATACAGTATTTCAGAAAGGAAATAGTTTTTTGGTTTGGTTTTTTGGGGGGTTTTGGTTGTTTTTTTTTAATCTATTGGTTATGGTGGATGTCTCCTAGTCATTTAAGAATGGTTACTTTTTGTGGATTAAGTGCCTCAATAATAGAGAGGAGTTAAATTCAGAAAAATTGAGGCTTTTTGCACATGCATACGTGTAGACATGGGCATCAGATAAACTACATGAAAGCATCTACTCAGCTATTTATTGGGTAAACTCACAGAAAAAAAAGGTATCCTGCTTTCAGTAGTAAATTATAAACTGAAGACAATACGTACAACACATGCATACTTCCCAAAATAATTTATTGCATCTCAGTTTCATCGAAATTACTTACACATGAAAATAATTTATACTAAACATTTTTCCTCCAAAAAATACGTCATTAACTCAAACATAATTAAACTAGGGGTTTTATCTACAGTTTGGTTTAAAAAAGTAGGATTAAAAGGACACAGAGGAAAATGTGGTAAACACAGTTACCTCTAATTTCATCTATGAATTTCAGGATGACAGTATTATAGCATTTCTGGCTTTGCTATTTTATTGCTTTATATGTCACTTCATTCTTAGTCTTACCCTAACTTTGCTGTCTCATTGTTCCTTATGATGCTTTTGATTTAGGATGCAGAATAGAAAACTGCGACTCCTGCTTTAGCAGAGACTTTTGTACCAAATGCAAAACTGGCTTTTACTCGCACAGAGGCCGCTGCTTCCGAGGATGTCCCGCTGGATTTGCAGCCTTGGAAGAGCTTATGGAATGTGTGGGTGAGTCTTCTAGCACAGCAGTGCTGCTGAAGTAGCTCTTTTGCCAGGTGGACATATTCAAATATGGCACTACTTTATGATGATGCTTAGTATTTCTTATCAGGAAATATTCCGCAATGAATTATTATTGATTTCTTTACTGATAATTCTACTAAATTTTTTGAAACTTTAAAATACTGCTTCATTGGGAATGCAACTCTGTTTTGCATCAGAATGTTCTGTCTTCTTAACTGTAAAATCACCTTGTATGAAGATTTGCAACTCAGAATTGTTTGAAGATTTACAACTCAAAATTTGTAAGATTTCAGGACTTGAATCAGAAAAACCTCTTTCTTTCAGGAGTATTGTTTGATTTTCATGATGGAAATGTGAACTTCTGAAGTTTTCAAACCCAGATGACAATCAAATAGGATCTATATATTAGATAGAGAAAAGAAGTAAATCTCATTATTTTAGGAAGGTTTTTCCAATATTTGGGACCGTCATAACATATCAAATATACTGTTCGATGGTCTGATTTTTTTTGTTTGGATTGATGCTGGCTAAAAGATTCAGGTTCGGTAAGAGATTTTGATTTTGTTTCTAGCTTTTACCTGCTAATAGTAAAACTGTCAAGTGCTGCTTTCTAACAGTGTACAGTCTATTCCAATAAAAAAATAAAAATAAAAAAAACCCCAAAACCAGAAGAATTACTCACTTGTGTTTTCTTCTACTTTATCAGAAGGCTGTGAAGTGGGTCAATGGAGTGAGTGGGGAACTTGCAGCAGAAATAACAAAACATGTGGATTTAAGTGGGGCCTGGAAACAAGAACAAGACAAATTGTGAAGAAGCCAGCAAAAGACACAATACCATGTCCAACCATTGCAGAATCCAGACGGTGTAAAATGGCCATGAGGCATTGTCCAGGAGGTAAGTGTAGCCCATGCCAGAAAAATCTTTATGAGCTGAAGGCCAAATTCTATCTCTGTTCTGTCAGCCAAGGCTGAAAAGCAGCAATACTGCATCAGTCCTAGTCTGTATAGTGAGACTCCAGGGAAGCACTCAGCATGGGAGTAATCAGTCCTTCAGCAGACTGTGAAAGTGTGTTTTTCCTGCTGGTACTGAGGGTGTTTCAAAGAGGAGCCTCATGGAAGAACCATAACAGGTTGCAGTTTGAGCTTCAGCACAGAAATGATAATGATGGTGGAAGAACAACTTGTTCTGTACATGGCAAGAAAGATTATGATTCTAAACCTCTCTGCAGGTGACACACAAAGTGTTGATGTAATGGGTATTTAAATTAAAAGAAGTTAATGACACATGACATTGTTAGCTGGAACTATTTGCTGAAACATATTCTTTCTTTTGAATATTGTAGAGTGAGGCCAAACTATGATAGATATCATACAAGCAGAACAGTGATAGATATCAAGATTTTCAGCATGAAAATGCCTATGGCAATTGCCCTAATAAATAAAATCAAATTTCTTTATCATAGTGTTGCAAGACTTAAGTAGCAATGCTGATGTGAAAAAGGAAATAGGGTTTCAAATTTGGGCTTGGTTTTTAGGCTCCGAACTGACACTTCACTGGTAGAGAGTTTTTATCTTTTAAGTTGAAAAGTTTAACTTATCAGGTATGTATCCTGACCACTTAAACAGGTTTCAAAATTTGTAGGAGAGGTGGGTGATCAGCAGGTGATAAAGATGCCATTCCTTTTGGAATCACAGGATTAAATAAAGAATGGACCTCGAGAGACCTTTAGTCCAACTGGGTCAACTGTGAAATCAGACAAATAAAAAAAGAAATAAAGGGTTGAAGAATCCTGAGGAAAGCCTTAAAATAATGAATAAGATAAACCTGAAACAGCTTTAGAAAAGGTACTTAAATAAGTTGCTTTGTATTCTGGGATTGTTGAAGATGTCTGTCTTGGCTTGATCATTCTTCTATGTATGTTATACATAGAGTTTTATCTTATGGATATGGGTTAAATCTCTGTAAGCATCATTTTTGTCTCTAGGACTGCAAGACAGTCTGGAAGGGTATATAAAGTTGATTCTCCGTTATCCAGGTTGACAGTCTATGATGTACTTTGCTTCCCTGTCCCACTCCCTGTATTCATACACACATGGATGCACACCTAGGGCATAGTCACATGGGGGTGCATCATACAGCACAGTTAATCTAAATAAACCTAAATAAACTTCTCAAAGGCACTGGAGGATGGAACCTACAAAATGAGCATCTCTATAGGAAAGAAGAATAGGTAAAAATGAAGACTGATTTGGACTGCCATGGTAGATGTATCATGATATCTTTGAATGTTAATTAGCTGCCACTACATCAAGGTAGCAACACTTACTAGTGTTTGCAGCCTGCTGAGTGATCCAGTTACTCCTAACAGTCTCTGAAGCCCAAATGGGGTTAGTAATCAGATCAGCTGAGGATATGTTTTACTGCTAAAATGAAAGGAAATAAAAGGGGCCCATGTCAAGTTCTACTAAGTCTCCAATCAGTGTTTCTTTTCTTTCTTTCTTTTCATTTGCCTTCTAATGCAGGTAGTTTAGCTTGCAGTAGAAAATTTGAGAAAATTGCAGAATTTTTTCAATTCAAGTTCATGTGGTACAGATTTAGTCATTTATGTACTCAGTGTGTATAAACAGAGGTATTTTATGGATACAGCCTCTAGCTTCTATTTAATCTCCTAGCAAGGAGAAACGTGGGTTTAGTCTTGATAATTTAGTTAGGATACAAATTATTCAAATTGTTGTAAATAGTTAGAGAAGTGTTCTTAAGTGAGCCATATTATTCAAGGATGCTGTATCATGCTCATGTTACTATATTAGTTTGGAGCTGTCAAACATTCATATCTTTTTATGTCATATTCTCTTAAGTTGTTTCAAATTCTCTTGTCCAGCAATTCAGATCACTACTTAAAGATTTATATCTCAGTTTTTTGTTTTCAAAGGCAGTGGCTTTCCTAAGAGTGAGGAGATTTATTGCCTTGTGTCCATATTGTCTCTATATTAAGATCTCTGATCAAATCTTTGCTTTTTTTCACCACATATCAGGAAAATTGTTGCTGCAAATACAAATTTAGTGTAGTACTTATAGTACTCTTTCATGGGCTCTAGTAAATCCTAGAGATTACAGTCCTGTCCTCCGATGGCGTGGAACTCCCTGCATCTCTTTTCAGAGATAAAAATAAATTGCAGGTTTGAATTCTCCACACTGAGTACAGTGTTTAAAACTACTTCTGTGCCATTATAGAAAACATCTCCCAGGGTAAAAACTCCTTTCTCTCACCTAAGAAGCTCCTGAGAGAGTGCTAGTGACATTTTAAGTGCCATGGGTAAGTCTTCCCCAGACCTGGTTATCTCTGCAGGTGAGGAAACCACAGAGGCTTCTCTGTATACAACTCCTGCTTTGTAGTATGTTTTAATTTATGCTACACACAGGGTTGGTCTAAGACCCTGTTCCTTTATCATCTTTCAGTTAGTAGGTTGCCCCATTAGACACCCAAAATGTTTTATTGCCTGTTTGATCACAGTGACATAGTGGGAGGCACAGACACAGGTTACAGGTTCTGGCTGCTACGGAAGAGATTATGTGTTTTTAAAATTATGATGGTTTCCTAATGTTAGGAATTTTGTAACTGAACTTTTAAACTGAGGAAATAAGAGCAAAATATTGTAAGGTTAGTGCTTCTGGGAGACTGAAGAACCATAATCCCCTGTAAATGTCAGTTGAGAGGCTATTAAAAAATCCTTTCATCCTAATATTCTCAGTGCATAAACTCACACAAATGTGGAGAATAAGTATTGGATTATACAGCTAAGATGATTGAAGATTTTGATGGATTAAGCTGAGCACAGGAAGTCAGGATATTTTTGGTAAAATAGGGTCAAATAAAGTGCTTTTGTCATGTGCTTTCTACTTCTGTATATATTAAAGTTACTATTTATGGTCCACACTACAGGGAAATTTCCAAAACAGATTTTTATGCATTTGCAGTAGAAGGAGAGTTATTTTCTGTTTTCCTACTAACTATTTCAGTTTCATATTTTTAGATGATAACCAGCTCCAGTTTTTGATTAATTATTTATAACTTACTCACTATCTGAACAGTTGTAGAGATACAATCTGGAATACAAGTGAGAGATTTTTTTAACTTCTTTCCTACTGAAGCCAGCAATATAAGAATAACATTGATTTCATATTTATTACTTATAGATATTTTCTTAGTTTCAGTGGTTATTGATTTAACTGTTATTACTGTATGGAAATGTCACATTTCTGTATCTGTTGATGTTACGTAAGTTACCCTGTGGCTTGACGGTAATGTGAATTCTACTTTGAGAGGTTAGACTTAGGAGGCTTGGAGAGGAGACAAAGGGGACTTGGATTGTTCAGGCTACCTTCTACCCATGCTGCTGTCTTCCTGATAAGGAGTTTTCTCCTCTTTAGTTCAAAAAGACAGAAAACTAAATTTAAAAAACCGATGGGGAAATCAGCAATTAGAAATGTACAAAGACTGATAAATCTTACTCTCCTCGCATTTTCCCATATATTTACTATAAATATTTATTTGTACATCTTATTTGTATGTTTCTCATGTTTACCTCAGGAATTTGTCCTCTTTTGTTTGTGCACTCCAGGAACCTGCAAGTTGATTTAATTTTTCATAGTAAGTGTTACATAAGCAAGCAAAGCAGCCCTCTGCTATTTCAGTGCTCATCAGACTGCAGTTCTTTGAGCTGTCTGAAACTTGAATATCACTCTATGCTGAACTAATACTTCTGCAAGTGCACATTGCTGGCCCATGTCCAGCCTGTCATCCACCAGCATCCCCAAGTCCTTCTAGGTCACCAAAGCCTTCTGTTTTCCAGGCTCAACAAAACCAGTCTCTCTTCACAGGATAAACACTTCAGCTTCTGACCATGTTGGTGATGCTGTGCCAAACTCTATCAGTATTTTTCTTTTCTTGAACTGCAGGATCCAAAGCTGCATATGGATTCTAGATATGGTTTGATGAATGTCACACAAAGGGGGATGATCACTTCCTATAATCTGCTGTCACACTGCTTAAACAGGTCGGCAGATTGAAGGAAGTAATCGCTGCTGCTGTGGCACAAAATTGGCACACATTTAGCTCAAGTTTCACCAGGACCTTCCCAGAAGAGCTGTTCCCCAGACAGTCGATATCCAGCCCATACTTTTTCAGGGAGTACTTCCTTTCCAGATGCAGGACTTTGCACATTGTTGAATTTCATGAGGTTCTTTTCAGCTACAATGAATCTTTTCCTCTGAAGTGTGAAATAAAAAACAGTTAAAATAAATATAACACCAGAACTCAGTGAATGATCTTTGTGATCAGGCAGTTGATCACATTCTTTTGAGCTCTTTGATACATCTACATTGTAGTACCAATGTTGACAGAGTTGCAACTTTTCTGAGACCTTAATTTATACATTGCACTTGTACTCTGTCTCATTGCCAAATACCTACAAACACCATCTGCCCTTTGAGTTAAGGCTAGGGCATTCTCTTGGTGTGTCTCAGAAAACATAACCACCATATTTTCTATCTCCTATGTTGCCACAAGAACAGATAGCTGAACAGGAACAGCAAGAATTGTTGCCTCCTCCATGAGGACTGTCAAGCATTTGGCTGGACTGGTCCAGTAGACTGTGTAGGCACCATCCTTGGAAGTTTCTAAGACCTGACTTGACAAACTCTTGAACAATCTAGTCTGAATGGTCTCAATCCTACTAAGAATGTTTGGACTGGAGACCAGTCTGAATAATTCTGTCTAAATGGAGAACCTGCTGTGGGTATATGCTGAAAGAACAGTGTACTTCCTGTTAGAGTTTTGCAAAATTTCTGATGACTTCTACTCTGAATTAGAGAAAAGCTGGAATGAGTTTTTGTAGGGAATAGGAGCAAGCCAAATCTTTACTGTGGTTGCTATAGTGCTCAAATATCTCCATTTGGCCAATTTTATTCTAGTTTAAATTGTATGCAAAATATGTGTCATGTTTTGAATATACTGCTAACCGTTGTTTCATGCATTTCCAAGTTTAGCCTTAACCAGGATAAAAGCTTAGTTCAAAGTGCTGATTTCTTGATTTATTTGTTATTATTTGACCTGTTCACTTAGTTGTATTTGGCTGAATGCTGCACACTTCAAAATCATGCATAGGATCTAAAAAATCCATAGTACAATGTACCTCTATTATAGTTAATACACTATGGCAGTCTAGAAAAACAATGAAAGACCAGCAGAACTATAGAAATGCAGCCATAATACTGTGTTTTGGAGTTGCTGTGACTTTTCACATCTTAAATAAAAGTCTGATTTTTTTGACATTTTTAGTAAATTGAAGATTTCATTCTGTCACTGTTTAAGTCATGATATAAATATATGGGTCAAGTTAGACTTAAAAGAAAATGATCCCACTTAGAAAATATTATCTTACAGATTGAGGCATGATCTGACCGGAGATGGTAGCAATCAGAAACGATAGTGGTTTAGAGAAAGATGACAAGATTTACAAGCAGATTGTATTTTGTTAGTATTGCATGGTTCTTTAAGACATTGGAATATTATTTATCACTGTAAAACTAAAACTAGGATTTACAAGACTTATTAGTATTTTAAACAAGACTGTAGTACATAGAATATACAACAATTATATTGTCATTCCCTACTGCAGCTCTCTGTGAATTTTGCAGTTGCAATGGACCAAATCTGCCCGTGTTTGCACTCACCAGACAGGTAGAAGCTGCATTAAGTGTAGCTCGACTGAGTACTGGCTCTGCTAGAATCCTGGTGTCACCAAACAGGTTTTCCTCCTTGATGTGTTTTTTCATGCCACTCTGGCCAAGAACAGTTGTCCTTAGCTTGTCTGAAAATATAACCCATCATTTTTTGTTTACAAATCGTGACTCAAGCTTTTAAAGCAGAGAAGGAAAACCTGTTTCAGCATCAGTTTACAAGAAGTAAACTCCACCAAAACACTTAATTGCACAGTGCAGGGTGGGAAAGCAATAGTAATGAGAAATATTTTTGTGAGTGTTTT